GTTTCCACAGGAGCCGTCAGCAGCACGTTACTGCAGCAGCACGTCTTGCTCGCGTAAACTGCTGCTTGGCCCTTCCCACGAGACGCGTAGCAGCAGGGGAGCAGCTGTCACCGACCGAGCACGAAGTCACACGAGTGACTTCATCAGTAAACACAACAACAAGCAGGAGAAAACTACAACATGGCTCCAAAATGTTTGTGTTTTTATGTTCTGTCCGTTTTATAATCGCCAATACGGACCTGAAAAACAAAGGAGACCGCTAGCTATGAGATAACTTCTCACGGGGCCGCACAGTTAGTAACCCTTTTAAAAGTAAAGCAACCGGAAGGCAGTACGTTCTTTATTCTGAAAATATCGGGAGCTTCTCTCCATTTCCGCGTCCGATTTCCTGTCTTTCCTTCCCCAAAAATGTCGAACTTGACCCGTTTCAGAGGCGTCGCGCGTAGAAAATAGAACCGGCGCGTAAAGGCCAAGACATGCTGCTCCTGAGATGCGGCCGACTCGCGCTGCTGACGGCTGCCGACGGCTCTAGTGGAAAAGGTTCTGTTGACCACAGCGGTTCCTATGAGCAGCTATGACGTGCTGCTGCAGTAACGTGCTGCTGACGGCTCCTGTGGAAAGCCGGGGTATTTTCTACGCGCGACGCCTCTGAAACGGGTCAAGTTCGACATTTTTGGGGAAGGAAAGACAGGAAATCGGACGCGGAAATGGAGAGAAGCTCCCGAGATTTTCAGAATAAAGAACGTACTGCCTTCCGGTTGCTTTACTTTTAAAAAAAGGTTACTAACTGTGCGGCCCCGTGAGAAGTTATCACCTAGCTAGCGGTCTCCTTTGTTTTTCAGGTCCGTATTGGCGATTATCAAACGGACAGAACATGAAACACAAACCATGTTGTAATTTTCTCCTGCTTGTTGTTGTGTTTACTGATGAAGTCACTCGTGTGACTTCGTGCTCTGTCAGTGACAGCTGCTCCCCTGCTGCTTATCGTCTCGTGGGAAGGGCCAAGCAGCAGCTTACGCGAGCAAGACGTGCTGCTGCAGTAACGTGCTGCTGACGGCTCCCGTGGAAACCCGGGGTGAACCTCGGCTGAAAACTGTTTCGCGATTTTTAGTCTCTTAACTTATACCATTAGTTGTAGCATTTGTGTATTCTTTTTTGGATATTATTTGTGCAATTGTTGGACAAAATGACTTGCTGTGGTATTTATTGCACTAATAGAGCGTCCAAGGAGTCTCCACTTAAGTAAAGTTATATTTATGTATTTTAGGTCACTGCCGAGCTGAGCTTAGATTTTAACATGTACTGTTTAACCATGAAATTTAAATGTAATAGGGTAAGCCCCAGTGCATTTAACATAATGCTGCATTTTAGGAAATGGGTTGAAATATAACATGTTGGTGGAGCTGGGTTCCCACTATCGGTATGGTCCCCTCCCCACAGCTCGGCGCATCTCTGATCGCCGCGGCGCTTGTCTGCCAGCTCTGGTGTTGTGCACAGTTAACTCTGGTTGTAGCTAGGCTGCTACCTCCGTCAGCTTAGCTCCCACCTCCGCATTAGCTTTGGGTTAGCTTCAGGTTAGCTTGTATCTACATTAGCTTCAGTTCGACCGGGTGTCGTCAGTTGATCCCAGCCTTACAGCCCCACCCTCAGCTCCACCTCTCTTGCCTTTTGTGGAATTGTCTGGGCTTGACGGAACCTGACACAGTCAAAATGGCGGTGGTGGCCACCTCCCATTTTACCTCAAAAACGTGATATTGGAGCCTATGGAAACCCATTGTCCATATATATATATATGTCAATGGGAAAAACAAGTGGCATTGGAAAATAAAAACCCATGTAGTTAGATGAGCTCTGTAAACATGATCCAGATGATCAGCTTCTCATGGTAAATTTGACCAAACGTCTGTGCAGTCGGGTGGTTCTGTCAGACCCGTTTCCAGTCTACTGTATATTTGTGGTATTTTAATGGGTCAAGCTAGAGCTACTGGTGTCATCCTTAACAGATGGAGGATGTTAACTGGGAAAGAAAAAAATAGGCTTGACTTTTGCCTTTGGGGAAGTGAGCAGTCTCAGGTTGCAGTGAAAAGTAAAAACATTTATATCCTTAAGAGTGAGATCGACCAGTCTCTCTGCAGAGAGCCCCTCCAAACTGATGCTGTGACCTAAATTAGACCTTATTAATCCTGCCGCCTTCTTCCCATGTTGAACTAAAAACATAAACCTGTCAGGAGAAATGAGCTGTGGAGAGCCGAGTGATTAACAGCAGCTGTGTTATTTGCATCAAATGACTTCCTTATTCTGTGAACACAGTTGTAAATGCTGCCTTTGTGAGCATCCAGTTCCTCCATCATCCACACCCGTTTTACCTAAACAAGCTCACGTCATGTTCACCCGTTGCTTGCAATAGGATATTACAATGTAAACTTTATGGAATTGGTCCCGTAAACCAAAACATCATTCCTGTAAACTTCAGATTTTTATTCAACTGTTTCAGAGCACTTTGATGAAAGTCTGAGGGTAAACTTTCTCTTCCTTTTTGTTGCGTTGACGTCGTTTCAGCAGTTTCCTCTGAGTCACTTCACCAAAAATACTAAACATTTTTTTCTCAGCCTAAACAAACGAAGCAAAGCATTTGTTCCTTTGTGGATATTTTATAAATATAGATCAGAAAATATAAACAGTCTTTAACCATAGAAAGTGTACAGCAGTTCTTACTTTGGTAAAGTTTAGACAGTAATGCCGTTGTAGCAGAAGACAACCACATAGTTTGTATTTAAGCAGGGGCAGGTTTGACTAGTGGCTAAACTCCTGAGGCTGGACCATATTAGAAAAATCCTTCACTTAAGATATTTTTTAATAATTTGATGTTAAAGGTGTGGGACACTCATTTAATCAGTTAATTTGCAGTGATCTCTAGAAAGAATGAATAAATGCCTCGCAAGTCGTACTCAGGGGAAGAATACCCCAGAAGCCCCTGGATCAGCACAGAGGAGTCTGCTGGAGCTGAGTGTGACACCACACGGCAGGATTTAAAGTCCCATAGTCACCACACACTGGTGAAATGACATCACTGCATTTAACCCATTCCCATGGGGAGCTGCAGCAGTGGTTGCGCTTGGGAACTATTTGGTGGTTTAACCCCCCCAATCCAACCCCTTACAGCAGAGTGTAAAGCAGGAGGCATGGGTCCCATTTTTTAAGTCTTTGGTATGATCCAACCAGGGTCTGATCCTCGATCTCCCAGTCCCAGCCCGGCACACTAGGCCACTTTGGACACTTATTTCCTGATATTTGGATAACTAAAGTCTGATTGGATAACAGCAACACAACACTATTGACTGCTCTGCAGCATGGATGTTTCAGCTCCATAAATAACCAAGGCCTGGAGGAGCTTCTGCTGTGTGGTTGAGTTGCTAATGCCAACGTTAGCTTCCACAAGCTGAGACCTTCTCCACGGTTTCCTGGACTCTTAACCAACAGCCTTCCCCGTCGCTAGTCAAGAAGGGCGAGTCCATGAATGTTAAGTGACCGTGTGATGGAGACTTTTCAGATGCTAGCATTCCACATTCTATTCTGTCAGAAGCTAATGCAGGAGAGAGGTGTAAGAAACCATTTTCATGTTTAGCCTGCATGAAAAACTCGAGTGACAATTTATAATCAAAAATAAAACTTTTTCCAGTTTTTCACACCTTTAATATTTGTTGTGAAACCCCTATTTTCCTCCCTCCTCTCTTCATTACAAAAGAATGACATCACTTGTGTTTAGCCTCCATTCTGAGTCTAAACCAGGTGTGGGCATCAAGGGCAGCTCCACATGCTAATGCTGCTCCCGTGAAACACCGCTATGCTTTGTTGTGATTCGAGCCGTTACCGATGTTGTGCAAACTGCTACTGCATCCATGATCTTTAACATGTTCTGTACTAAAATTTGAGAAACAAACTAAATTACTGAAACACTTTAACTGTGGCTGGGGAAGGCATTGCTCTTGGGATTGCTTCATGTGGGCTTGGGGACCCTGCCCCTCCCCAGATTATCATCTGCCTGACCAGAGATTGTGCTGCACAATAATGGCATTTAAACTTTTTATTTTACTCAAATTTATTATTTGTGATCCTGTCCGATAGTGATGAAGCTGCTAAATAAGTGTTGGTACTGCAGAAATTGCTAATGTGAATATTAATGTAAATTGTTTTAAGTGTTCACTTTAACACATTTTATGTTGCCATTGACAATCTTAAAGATTTTTACTTGGGTATTTATTTCTAAAAAGATCAGATTAGTCCATAGAAAAACTATTTAAGAAATCCTAATTTAAAGTAGAAAAATTAGACAAAGCCCTCTAGAAAAATCTTACGTCAGCCAACGAAATAATTTTCGGTTTGCATGTTCAGACTTCTGTTCTAGAAGTGAAAACGGGCACAAGCTGTCATCAGCCTTACAGCTGAGGAAAGACAAATAAACTTCTGAAATATAGCTATATGCATTTTGTGTTCATATTGAGTATAGGATGCTGCTCGACATGCAGCATTTCCCTTAAAGGTTTTGGTCAGAACTCCAATTCGTCGACTCAGCTGACATTTCTCACAAGTCACTACAAAGTAAAACAAGCACAAACCAGACCCGTCATAGTTCTAAGAAGTGTTTGTGTTACAATTGCAGCACTGTTGCATTACACAACAAACTGGAAGATTACCACAAAGGTGCAACCTTTCAGCTCAACCCAGGCAAGCAGAGATTCTGTTGGCATTTCAGTAATTTACCCCCCCCCCCCCATTCAGATTATTCTGACTTTCCACTTCCTGTCTGGCGATGATGTGAATTTGTCCTGCACTCAGTACACGTAGCTCTTTGATTCAAAATTAAAACCACATGATTTTCATTTTGCAGAAGCAAATCTTCAGATTTCAGTGGCCTGAAATATTTATGCATTTACTGCAAAACTGAGGCTGTTTGAGATCAACGCTGCCACCATGTGGTAAACAGATGAATGAAAGAAATCTGATGGATTTAGGACTTTATTTACAAAAAGAAACGAAAAAGTTTTATTTAGAAACATTTATATAAGTGAGCAAACCCAGAGTGTACTTTGTGACTTTACAACAGAACACAAAAGCTTTAGTGAATGTTAAAGTGTGTCTCAGTATCTGGATTGCAATAAGAATCTCAAAATAAACCAGATATATTTAAAAAATGCTAAATTAAGTCTGGGGAAAAAAAACAAACACCCCTGATGCGATAAAAAGCAAAAGTAACTTCCAAAAGGAAATAAAACCAAAAGATTTTTAACAGTGAATATATCAAATCTACATTTTCTGTTAAATTAACAAAAAATAGGACATTCAAACTAAATTGAATCAACCTGATAAAAACAGCTAATAAGACACTTAGTCAAATTTTCCTGAATTTGTACCAATTTCTAAGCTTATTTGAATCAAAAATAAGGAAACAAAGTAATGGATTGGCTTTGTTGGTAGGATCTTCACTTTCTTCAAGAGTGACTGTTGGTTGTTCTCTTTACTCTTTAATCTGGAGATCATCTTGGTCACATGGTGAAAGTACCAGTGGCTAAAATATGAAACAAAAAAAAGTTCAATAGAAATCCATAATTTCCTACAGAAGATCAAGGGTGTATCAGTACCAACTGTACAAGGACAAAGTCTAGAGTCAAAAACGGGACGTTGTACAGAAATTGTAAGGTATAAGACTTACGTTTTTAGAATGCATTAGTCAGAATGAAATCCTCACAAAAGACAAATACTTACACCCGAGTAGGAGATGGCAGTGATCACAGTAGGGCTTCCTGTTTCTGACATGGACCTGGGCTCCCGTCTCTGTTCCTCCGAGATGTCGGCGGCAGCCCACGCACTGGCAGGAGGGAGAAGTGAGAAAATAAACGTCATTTCCCAAACAAAACCCAGTTACATAAACCGTTCTGTTCACTTCTGGCAGTGTGGGGCCAAACTGGAACAGACTCACACCTTCGTACTAATGAAGCTATGCCAACTAAATATAGGGATTCTCTTTCAGTGAGACTTCCACAATAAGCATCTAAAAACAAAATGTGACAGATGGCAGTCCTCTCCCTCTTCGCTGCAGACATTAGACACATCTGAGCCCGGCCACCAGTCCAGATCATCAACGTGTATGACAGCATAACAGGCCTCAGTTTACTTGGCTTTTTGTTACTCTCTGGACTAAACGCGTTTCTGTGAGCGCACTGAAAGGAATTCTTTCTGGATCTGTGATTTGGGACTTGTTGTGGAGTGACTACAACACGCACTAATCATTTCTAGTCAATATTCCATTTTACAACTCCGAGAACCCTCCCAAAACAACCTCTATACATGCTGCGTTGTCATGGTAACCAGACTGAATGACAGCTCAGAAGAGGCTGCACTTATACATGTCTAAATAAAACCAACTAAACAGAATGAGTCCTTAAATGTAAATGAACCTGTTAATCTACAATTTATCATATTCCGTTTTTTATTTATTACTGATGAAGTAATAAGTAATGAAGCCCTCTGTCCCAACCGCGTTTATAACCTCTGCAACTTGTTTGGTTCTTTTGCACTGCGGCAGCCAGTGTGTCTATCTCTACAAAATGTTTTTTTAATTTCCAGGTAGAACGCAGGGAACCCCCTCACGTTCTGAGGACGTGGTGTGACCAAATAAGGTAAATTGAGGGCGTTTGTGTATGTAAATGTCTGCGAACAGACACAAACACCAGAGTACGCACAGGTGGGATTTATCATCCGAAGACTGCGGAGGAACACGCGTACGACAGGTCACTGCATGTTTCATAAATCAGATTTTTGACCGTTTGTACACACAAATGTCGTTCATAGGAAGGAATGATGAACGTCTGATGAATGAGGGCCCTGATGTGTAGCTTGAGATAATTGTTTGGCACAACTGGTTTAACTTGAACTGAAGTAGTTTGCATAGATAATGTTTAAGTATGCAAGATGTGAGAAATGTAATGTTATCCCCCTTGTTTCATTTTTTTTTAAGAAAGGACCTTGTACAAAACTGGTATTTAAAGGTAGTGGCCAGACTCAGCATTAACATTTTAAAATCACAGTACAACTACGCTTTACCATCTATATAAATATGAACTGGGTTCAGTTTTTCATTTTGTTAAGGAATTTAGTCATAAATCATTACAGAAAATCAAATTTCTCTCCTCCAGGCAGTGAAGAACTGTTTTGCATATGTCACTCACACACGTCATACTAGGTAGCTGCTGGTGCTAACATGGTAAATCACTGTATTTTGTTTACCATCGTGTTCCTAATTAAAACAGAAAATTGCATTTACAGCTGCAGCTAAAGGTCTGAGCCATATGTCCGTGTCCTACACGTATTTTTAACCAACATAGGTTTGATCTAAAATAACCTACATCCATGAATCCATTTAGAAACGCACCGGTACTTCTGGACTCCAGCAGGCGAGTCACGTTAGCATGAGTGCCGCAACAGAAACCGTGTTAGCTCCGGTAAAGAATAAACAAGTAATTTGTGAAAGCTACGACCCCCCCCCCTTTAAATTCCACGGCACCGCCTCCGTCAGTGTGCCCCATCGTAGCTCATCACCATCAGTGTGTGAATTTGTGTGTGAATGGATGATACACTGTAGTGTAAAGCGCTTTGGAGTCCTTACTCTGAGAGGCGCTATACAAGTGTGGGTCATTTCAATTCCAGCCGTGAAAATCCAAAAACCTTATTCATATGAGGTTTTAATACTTTTTTTACACATGTCATTCAGAAGAATTTAGCCTCTGGCCAATATCTTCTATCAAGCATCCGAAAGTTTGGCTCAACTGTCTTTGGTCTCATTCATGTCGACGGTCCAGCTGCTCCACAGTGCAGAAAAGAGGCTGATTAGCCCAGTGTTCCATGAGAGGTTACAGAAACCATGATGAATACATTCAAGACTCCTAGAGGTCACATTAGCTGCACAGCTTTCCCAAATTAAGCACCCAAAAAATAAATAAATAATAAAAAGGCTTTTTAATTATGACTGCACCTTGACCTGCTCACAACGCCTCAACTGGAAACAGGTAAGGTGAAAGCAGAGACTAAGGGCCTCTATGACCATGGCTGCCCCACTACCCAGGACACACACACACAGCAACTCTTTGCGCCTCTGACCATCCTGCGGCCACATGTTAATGTGTAAGAAAAAAAATACAATAAATGTAGTAAAAAGGACTTGCAAACGAGAACGGGGAAGAAAAGTTGCATCATTCGTGTACCTTGCAAGGTGAGAGGAGTCCGTGTACATATTTCTCTGAGACGACATGGATCCAGTGCTGTAGCGAGAGGCTGCGTTCCTCGTTGGAATGCCGTAACCGCCGGCAACTGAATGTGGGCGAGGGTATGTAAATGTTGCAGCCATATCAGGGGAATGACGCAACATGTCCAGGTTATCCAGAGACTCGTATCTGCAGATCAAAAAACAAATTAAAAAATACATTTGGCTGTGGGTGCAGTACAAATACAAGGCTTGCCTCTTCATGCAGGCAGCAACATCGATGGGCTCCTTGTGGGAGCTGTTGCTGCGTTGACGGATCCAGCTGTTGTCTGTCAGAAGTTGAGTCCTTTTCTTCATCTCTTCCAAAATCTGCTGCCTCTCTCGCTCAGCTTTAGACAAGGAACGCCCAAATCTTCTCTGATCAACTGAAAGAATTGAAAGTTGGGAGTAAAAACCAGAGCGTCTGGAGATGAAAAGAAAATAGGAGAGGAGAGGCAACCTGACCTCTGGTTGGCTTGTGGGGCTCGGATAATGCTTGTGTCGACAAAGACATTGCCCTGTTATAGTGACATAGGACACAAGGATTTAGATATGAATCTATAATGCAATTTCTTAAGACGTGCACTATACTGTATTCATGCTGATACACGCACAAAAAAAAGCACTTTTCCCCCCCCGTTTGAGTCAAATTGAGCCGAGCTTGTTCTGACCTGTGTGCAGGGGACAGCTGAGCGAAACCACAGGAGCCCTCAGCCCTGATCAGCAGCAGATGGACCCAAGCACAGCAGGAGTCACACCAGCAATTAAGAAACCAGCAGATTCCTGATCATGCAACAAGAGGAAAGGCTTTCCTTACCAGCAGTTTTCTGTATTCCTGCTGTTCTGTACTTTTAGCTCCGCTTCTTTCAAATGGTCTTGGTCGGGACCCCGCTCATCTTCTCTGCTCTTCTTTGTCAGTCCGTTCACATAAAACAGACCACTGGTGAACCTCTCAGGACCACTGGGCAACTCCAACGTATTCTCCTTTAAATCAACCAAGAAAAACATGTTCATACAGATTTTCACCTCTGAATGCTATAAAATAAATGAAAGCACAAACTTCAACATACAAAAAGAGTGCTTAATGATTGCGAAGAGTTTATTTTTCCATTTGGATTTACAGCGATCTGAAAAATTTGGAATTTTCATATATTGGCCAGTATTGAGGCTTGCCAATCACTGCGCTTCATTAAAAAAAAAAAAAAACACGCATTTTCATTTTCTTTCCACGATGCATGGCAGACTGCCCCGTCGACCGACATCCATAGCGGTCCAATCACAGCACTTTGTTGGTGGGCGGGATGTTACTGAATAAACAAAGATGGCAGCGGCTCGTTTTTAAACTGCTTTGGCATCAACTTCGGACCATTTAGACTTCGGCTTTCCTTTGAGTCAAGAGCAGATAGAAACATTTATTTGTGTCGTCTTCCACAGCGCCACAGCGGAGACCTTGTTGACTGACAACTGCAGTGGTGAGTATGCAATGTTGTTTGTTGTCCAATAGCATACGGAGACCGTTGAAAGACAACCTTAGATCCCGCCCCATGACTGAGATCCATCAGTGGACCGTGGCCAGACTAAATATTCACATAAAACAGCTTAATCCCCAATTCAACAGAAATTAAAGAGCTTGAAAACAATTCATGTAAAGGAATTTACAATCATTTTAGTTATATATAAATTAATATTAATATATTGTCTTAAATTATACACTATACATTATATAATATATAATATAAATATATTATACTAAAATTATATATAAATATTAATATATTGTCTTAAATTATACACTATACATTATATAATATAAATATATTATACTTAAATTATATATATAATTATATATAAAATAAAAATTTTAATCAATAGTGTTGGATCGGACAAAAATAAACTAAGAAATATAAACAGCAGCAAGACTTCTCTTTATGCTGAGATTCATGCTAATCTAACATACGTTCTTTCCTTCATTATTTTCATTCATGCAACATTTTTTCTTCACTAAGTTCTCTTATTTAGTATTGGTAAATTTCTGTCCTCTTGAGTTTTAATTATGCAATAATAAAAATTCTCAAACTACTAAAATGTTAATTTAGAGAATATCTGAGTGAATAACGTTCAAAAAGCTTAATATTGTATCCCTATACTGCTGCTTGATGTAGATATTTAACATATGTTAAAGCACAATGTCTGCAAGATTTGTATCCAGTAGGCACAATTAAAGTTTAGACCTGTGAGGTCCTTCCGTCCAGTGCATCCTGTTGGGCCCTTTGCCACTCGGCCTCCAGCCTCTCCTGATCTCGCTGGTATTGCTCCTAAAACACAAAAGTGACATGTTCTACAGCCATAAACCCTCTCCTCTTTGTGCTGTTCTGTGCTTGTCAGGCTTTATTCTTTACCTGTAGGAGGCGCTCTTGCTCTTCCTGCCACTTCTCCTGCCGCCTGCGATCCTCCTCTCGGTCCCACAACCAGTTGGAGGTGGACAAACTCAGGGAGGGCACCTGGAGCTGGAAGTAAACCAACAGAACGTAGTTATAAATGAGCACGCATAAATCTGTATTTTCAGCAGGTAGTGCGGTAACTTACATCTGATATTGCAGACTCAGAGCCTCCTGTGTGAAGAGATACGTGTAAAGAAACACTTCTTAATTTGATGATCAGTTTTCATTCAAACTGAAACACTGGAGTCACATTAGAACAACGTGAAGTGAAATTCAAAGCGTGGCTTAGCAGCTTTTTACAGAAGCACAAACTTTACAACCTTTTGGTTTTCGAGCAGTCTTGTTCTAGCCACTCTGCTTTTATCTAGAACTACTGGAGATTTTGTTCAACCACAATGCAAGAAGACTGCATGGTGGTTGCACAGCTGCTGACGTGAATTAAGTAACTTATCTTAGCAAAGCCAACCGCTCCTGACTTGGGATCAGGAACCCTGCATCCGCAGGGCCACAATGCAAATCAGCACCTTGGTCCAAAAGTAACCCCAGCTTAAAGAAGGCACAATGAAAATGCTGAAAAAGAAAGTGTTCAGCACAGAGCAAGAGGACACAACAAGAAGAAATCCATGCATCATTTGACAAACGTCAGTCCTCTGTGTACACTTGCTGATGCTCAGCAAACGGAGGGTTGGGAGACGTTAATGTCTAGCAAGCCGCTCAATGTCAACAAAAACACGAAGAGCAAACATTTACCGCACAAATAAACCCACGAGCTGATTCCTGCAGAGCCTGGAGATGGAAGCCAGAGCGTGACAAACGTCAAATCCATTAACAACCACAGAAGACAGCCACAAAGAAGAAAAAAAAAAAAAAGCATCATAGATAATTATATTTGCCAGGAACATTTCCAACCCATTTGAATACAAAACATGGGACGCTACAGTAAGAGACTACTCTGCAGAGTGCGTCACTACAAGCTTTTAGATTGGTGTCAACTAGAATTAATCATTACCAATCAGTGCAGTCAGTCCTGTGGTTTTTTGGCAAGACTGTGCCAAGTGATGCACAAAGACAAACGCTGCAGCTTGACACAATTTGCTTTATTTATTATGTGGAGATGCTAAAAAATGCTGGAACTTTTACATTGTCTATTGTGGTTTTTTAATATTTCCCTCTATATCACTATATTGAAAAGTAACTTTGCTCTTATTTCCAATAGCAGGCCCATGCTTATCTACTTAACACCTGCAGTGCTGCTGTAAAGTTAAGAGAAAGCAGCTCAAACCACGACTCAGGGAGACGGCAAATCCCGACATTTGCAACAGCAGACAATCATCCAGTGTGATGAATGTCGTGGTATGTTTCTGTCCACTGACACTTTGATTTATAACATATCTTTCAGTATCGTCTGGCGTTTTTAATCAGAGTTACTGCAGCACAATGAGCGCGTTCATTTATTTTCAAATATTTTTCAGACTGCATCCTCCCCAACTACTAATGATTTCTTTTAAAAGGATGTATAAATAAGGTTTTTGCCCTAACAAGTCTCAAGCATGTAGGGGTGGAGCTCCATGGGACATTCTCCCATTGCTACTTTATGAATCAGGGTGAAGCAGCTTTCTGGTTTTATTCAGTCATCTTGGACACAGTTCTAATCAAAAATACATCAGATATTCATAAGAAAGTTGATGTTGCACAAGTCCGATAATTTCACCTCTTTATTTCAACTAATCTTACAAATTTTTAGATGCACAGCTTTAAGACTTAAGCCAACCAAGCAAGGCGCCGACCACTAAAGCTGCTGCATAAGGACCCGCTGGGAGTGCAAGTGTTTTACCTGTCTGATTGAAAAAGTCTGCCCTTCTTTTCTGATTTGTCTTAGCAACATTAATGCAGTCTACGTGAAAAGGAAGAACACATATGGTGAAAAAAATGCTTTGACCTTGTTTAAAGGAATAGTTCTTCTCAGTTATTGCAGTTCTTTTACCTTTGCCTCTAGAGGAATGGAAGTTTCCTGAAAGGGCTCCATCCGTGTCTTTACACTGCACTGCCTGAATTTTTGAAAACACAAAAATAATTTTTGGAAAAACATCAGATTAACTTTTAGAAACTAGTGTGCAATACACTGGCTAGAACAGCAGCTCACATGATCCGTCTGCCAGTTAAATTTAGATCCTTGTCTGTCTGCAGTTTCAGTACGGGCCACACCGTTGGCATGGCGATCGGTGTAACCGATGAGGACGGGTGCTGCAGCAGTCAGATTGAGGGTTTTCCTGCTTTGTCCAGGCTGGTTAGGATGGCCATCACTACTGGTGCTCCAATCTTAAAAAAAAAAAAAAAAAAAAGCAGATAAAATGGTGAAAATTTGTTCAAATAAGCGAGTAAATTAACAGAAAATGTTTGCAAATAACTTAGGAAGTAGTAAAAACACTTGTCTTGTTGCATCACCCTTTTTCCCGTAGCGTCGAATGTCCATGGTTAGACTCCCAGTTTCCAAGGAAGATGCCATTCTCTCCTTCCACTGGCTGTAGGTCAGGTATGCCACTGCAGCGCCGTCAACCGCCACAATCTCATCGTTCACACACAGCTGGCAGAGCTCTGCTGGACTTCCTGTGGGACAGACAGGCACCAGGACAGGATCGAGACAATTAAACAGAAATCAGCTCTTGAAATATTCCATTCACTATGAAAAAACATCTTAAAATGCTGCTCCAAACTGAGAAGTGGGTCACTTAACCCAAAGCAGCAAGTAAGTGACACCTCTGATGCTTGTTAATTTTTTATGATTAAGGTTTGAGACACTGGGAACATTTTCCAGGTTTCTGATCTGCTGAGAGGCTGAAAACTACTCTATAAGCATTTACTTACAAGTCAAGTAACGGGAAATTTAAGTACAATTAAAAAACTACATCCGTTAAAAAAATCATTTCTGGACTATTTTTAGCTTCTTAAACCGCTTCAGTTCAGAGAAATTGTATTTATATACCTCAGGACTGATAGGCTAATGGCTAGTACAAGTGCAGCCAAGACCAGTGTGTAATCCTGCCATATTCAAACTGCTTTAATCTACAAAATACATTTTATTTTTTAAACCTTTACATCACTGTTGATTTTGCATTGTTTTGGCTATTCACAAAGAACCCTCTGGTTATTTACAAACCTGGCATCCCCAACAGCAGCTATATGTAGCACGAGGCCCAACTAGGCATCAAGTTTAGCAGAAATTTGATGCATCCGCAATAAAGGATGCAATGGAAAAAATTTAAATAACCGCTATGATAATTTTAAGATGGCAGCGACACGCTTTGGTCTTGGCTGGACTTGAGAGCAACGGAGTCCTGTTAGGATAACTTTATTTTAATGTTCTGAGAAAAATAAGGCTTTTCAGGAAGCCATCTACGATGAGTAAAAATGGTCATGCCTTAATCCTTCTTCAGCCTTCAGAGAGTACAGACGCTTTTTTCTCAGCTCCCTTATCGGCTTCCCCAAGGCTCTTGTCCTGTCTGCCTACAGAGCACTTCTCTGCATTTCTCCTGAAACCACTACTCTCTTTTTGTAAATATGGACTTAATTAATTGGTCATTCAACGTGATTGACAACATTTTCTCTACGATGAGAACGGAGAAGGGGGCTCCCACCTGTCCCGAGGGGACATTCGCATCGGGATATGCACTCGATTCTTGGGAGGTCTGGCGAATCGTGTGCCTCTCTCAGCTGTCCATCGAGGACGTGGAAGATTTGTGGATATTCGGCCTGATGATCACTGGATTTCTTCTGATTGGAGTGGGAGGATATCTGGTTTTCTGGAAATTTGGGAAGACGGGAGCGATTGGAGTGCGACCCGTACCCACGGAATGTGCCGCTCGTGCGGTGACCTCACAGACTGGGACGTTACTCGAGGTGAACCGTAAGCTGGACAATGTCCTTGCGGCGTTGCCTGTGTTAGTGCGCAAGATGGATTTGATCTCGGAGAGGGTCGCCGGACGATGCGGGGATGTGGAATGTAAAATTGGCTTCACTGGTGGACATGAATGACCACTTAGAGACTACAAGACGGAGGGGAAGATTATCTCTGTCTACCCTAAACAAAGTTATGTTTATCCTTATCTGACGCCATAGCAGCCTCTCAAGGCTGCCTCAACACACCCCCACAAAAGGAGGAATGCCGACAGATGCTGTGTCCCGACCTTCACCCTCTTCCTTCAGGCTATATCTGCAGGGACCTCAATGTGCTCTCTGTTCCTTATCTCTCCCTCCCACCTGTTGTTCTGCAGCTGGTCGATGCGCCGCAGTGGCAGCTCCCATTGGAGGCTTCAGGATCCCGCCCACCCCCACCTCCCCATTGGACTCTGATGTTGTACACGTGCTGTCTGTGCTTCCATGTCGGGTGTTTTTTTGCATTGGAGTGCTACACCCTGCTGGTGTAACCCTGTTAATGCCTTTTTTTCCCCTCCCTGAACTTTCCTCATGTAACACCCTTTTCATCTAACTATTAAGGTAGCGCGACTCATGTTGCGAATGACCGCAGTCACCAATTCTTGTTATGTGTCTTACCCACATATGTCTGATCTTTGAATTGTGTGTGCTGAAACTGAATTTCATTTCTCTGTATGTCCTGCACATGTGGAGAATATGACAATAAATGACTCTTGACTCTTGACTCTTGACTCTCCCTTTATGCAGAAACACTTAAAAATGGCTAAACTATGGCCTAAAATCAATATCACGATATGTTGAGGATTTCACCTCGATAACGATAAATGGACGATAATTACAGGTATGCGCAGAAACAAGCGGTCCACTAGATGGGGCTGTCACGTGTATTACATTGAGTCAGTTTTACGTGACTCAAGGTGGTACAGCTTCTTAAAGGCACATGGACGTTGCCATCTTACACACATCTCTTCATTTTTTAAATCAAATTTAATGACATGGGAAAAATTCGATAAAAGTCAGACATTTTGATAATACATTTTTGCTTTATTGCCCAGCCCCAGGCTAAACTATCATTTTGTTTTTGCAATAGCAGTCTTATGTAGAGTTCATGATAACATTTTCTAAAATTTGATCCACAAACATTTCCAAAGCCTCCAAGTTCAGTTTAACTTGTTTTCTAAACCAAAATTCTAGCATCAAACTGAAAAGAAAATACACTTTTATCCAAGACCAAATTAGAGTTACAACCTCCATCAACACTTTCTCCCATCTCAGACAAAAACATTAATACAAATTTTCTTCAACAGTCATGTTTTGTTCCAGAAGAAATTAAAATCTCACCAGGTTGGATGAACTTTACTCTCGCTCCTGTGGAATCCCAGTGAGTTTGGAACCCAAAGTCTGGTACACTGTTCGGTTTAAGAGTCAGGCTCACTCTCATGTCACTATAATCAACCTGAACACACACACAAACACACACACCAAGGTAAAGGTGACACCCTGCGATCCAATGTCTTCTGCTTCCTGGTTGAAACTAGAAACCAGCTACACAAGTACAGTAATGTGAACTCTGAATACTCAGCCAGGGTTTTATTGTTTTAATGAGATGCCCATTCAGCTAAATGTTTATGTAGATTTAGTAGATTGTGATGTGGTGATAGTCACATTTTCTGTTCTTTCAAATGAGGCTAAACTGATAATTAGGTCTTAAATTCCTTGATAATTTGAGTCGAACCAAACAGCTGTGTCACCTTATAAAAACGTGACATTTTTTCCACAAGCCTTTGATTTGTTATGTTGAAGTAATAGGCAAATAATATAATAGTTTCTCTTTAGAAGAGGTCATTTGCCCATTCTAATATTTTTTTAAATGTAGTTAGAAAAGAAATTAGGAAAGAAATCAGGTAAGAGATGGTAGACCTAATTTTGCCCATCAGGTGTGTTTAAATCTAAACCATTGAAGGAAGAGCAAGATCTTTTTTTAAAAAGGAGCCAAGTCCAGGTGAGGGAGTTAGAAAAGCATTTTTCTCTGTAGTTTCACTGAGTTGTGTGTAACTATGAATGCTAGTGTGGAGTCCTAGTGGCAAAAATGTGATCCAGAGTGACACCTGCTGGCCAAATTTAAAAAGGCATGCAGTGGATTAAATGTTCAAGCCTCAAATAACCAATATACAGGTCCTTCTCATAATTAGCAAATTGCGATGAAGTAGAATTATTTTCTGTAATGTACTGATAAACAGTAGACTTTCACATATAGATTCATTACACACAACTGAAGTAGTTCAAGGCTTTTATTGTTTCTAATATTGATGATTTTGGCATACAGCTCATGAAAACCCAAAATTCCTATCTCAAAAAATTAGCATATTTCATCTGACCAATAAAAAAAGTGTTTGTAATACAAAAAAGTCAACCTTCAAATAATTATGTTCAGTTATGCACTCAATACTTGGTCGAGAATCCTTTAGCAGAAATGGCTGCTTCAATGCGGCGTGGCATGGAGGCAATCAGCCTGTGGCACTGTTGAGATGTTATGGAGGCCCAGGATGCTTCGATAGCGGCCTTAAGCTCATCCAGAGTGTTGGGTCTTGCGTCTCTCAACTTTCTCTTCACAATATCACAGATTCTCTATGGGGTTCAGGTCAGGAGAGTTGGCAGGTCAACTGAGCACAGTAATACCATGGTCAGTAAACCATTTACCAGTGGTTTTGCCACTGTGAACAGGTGCCAGGTCATGCTGAAAAATGAAATCTTCATCTCCATAAAGCTTTTCAGCAGATGGAAGCATGAAGTGCTGCAAAATCTCCTGATGGCTAGCTGCACTGACCCTGCCCTTGATAAAACACAGTGGACCGACACCAGCAGCTGACATGGCACCCCAGACCATCACTGACTGTGGGTACTTGACACTGGACTTCAGGCATTTTGGCATTTCCCTCTGTCCAGTCTTTCTCCAGACTCTGGCACCTTGATTTCCGAATGACATGCAAAATTTGCTTTCATCCGAAAAAAGTATTTTAAACCACTGAGCAACAGTCCAGTGCTGCTTCTCTGTAGCCCAGGTCAGGCGCTTCTGCTGCTGTTTCTGGTTCAAAAGTGGCTTGACCTGGGGAATGCGGCACCTGGAGCCCATTTCCTGCACACGCCTGTACACGGTGGCTCTGGATGTTTCTACTCCAGACTCAGTCCACTGCTTCCCAAGGTCTGGAATTGGTCCTTCTCCATAATCTTCCTCAGGGTTCGGTCACCTCTTCTCATTGTGCAGCGTTTTCTGCCACACTTTTTCCTTCCCACAGACTTCCCACTGAGGTGCCTTGATACAGCACTCTGGGAACAGCCTATTCGTTCAGAAGTTTCTTTCTGTGTCTTATCCTCTTGCTTGAGGGTGTCAATGATGGCCTTCTGGAAAGCAGTCAGGTCGGCAGTCTTACCCATGATTGCGGTTTTGAGTAATGAACCAGGCTGGGAGTTTTTAAAAGCCTCAAGAATCTTTTGCAGGTGTTTAGAGTTAATTAGTTGATTCAGATGATTAGGTTAATAGCTCGTTTAGAGAACCTTTTCATGATATTGGTTTCTAATTTTGGTTTTCGTGAGCTGTATACCAAAATCATCAGAAATGAGGCTTGAACTTCTTCAGTTGTGTGTAATGAATCTAATATGAAAGTCTAATGTTTATCAGTACATTACAGAAAATAATGAACTTGATCACAATATGCAATTTTTTTGAGAAGGACCTGTAATTGTTTGATGTGATTGGTCAGTTGACCTTTTGTCTCAGGATTTTAGAGTGTCACCGGTTTAGTCGTGCAAAATCATTTAAAGAAATTATTTCCGGGGGGGTGGGGGGTGGGGGGGATTGGAGTATTGTCTAAATTACTTAGTAACTGGAAGAAAATATATACACTACACCCTACCAGTTTAATGGGTTATTTTGGCCTAGCAAAGTAAAAATTTCCATGCTCAATTGTGTTAACATGGCAGCCGCTTTTATCCAAAGCGACTTACAGTTGTTAACCTACAGGGCATGTTGAGATCTGTGGGGGAAACTGGGGCACACGGAGGAAACCCACGCATGCATGGGGAGAACGTGCAACTCTACGCAGAAAGGCCACAGCCGGGTTTCGAACCTGCAGCCTTCTTGCTTCGAGGCAACAGTGCACCACCACGCAGCCCAATTAAGTAACCTATCCTTGCCATTATGAGTGAGATCTTAAGGCAGTATTCTAGCATTGCCATTAATTAAGATAGAGTTAAAATATTCAATATCAGGCTCAAACATGTTTTCTTCAGATTATTTTCTCAACTCATTGACAGATAAAATTCCCCATCAGCCTGTTCTCAGAAGGATCTCCCACCACAGCCTGAAAAACCTGAAACACGGTGCTTCAAAATAAGGTTTTCCTATTCAAATCTAGAATACTGTCAATATGATGAACCTACCACTACAATGTCAAAAATTAAAGCCTGTACCCATGAAAAAATATTTCAGTCAAAGAGATTTAATTACACTTTTAATTCTGTTTTTTCCACAAAAACCCTTGCGTAGGTAGAGGCTTAATTTTCAAATGTTTCGGCACCAGAGTATATTAGAGTCCTTGGGTTTAATATTTTATTTTACCCATCAGCTGTAACTAGAATCCAGTAGGACAAAAAGCTGATTATTTTCTTCTAAATCAGTTTTCAAAACAGATGAGTAGAAATTTCCACCCAAATGTTCTTATGTTCTTCACAAGGGCAACTTGATCCAACATTGAACTCCAGATTTTATAATGTCAGGGTTTTACATGCACAGTGCACACATGTTCGGAGCTATAAACTGAGAGGACCTACCTTTGAGTAGAGTGTGGTAGAAGCAGAGTTTTTGTAGTTTGAGCACTGCAGGTTTGTAGAAGGCTGAGACAGTTTCTGAGTGGAGGACTGACAGGGAAGGCTGCTGGTCTGCAGGGACATCTGCTCGGAGAAACCCACTGTGCTGACTTCTCTCTGCTTCGAGCCATTCTGCCTGGCCTGATTGGCTTTCTTCTGTCGGATCGACGCCTGGTACTGACCCCTGAGATTGGCAGCCGCAGTCTGTCTCTTCAGAGACACTTGGGGAGATGAAGGAGAATTTTCTTTCTCGCTTTTCAACAGCAAATCTTGATCATCAACCTGAAAACAAACAAAAACAAAACCTGCTCACATGGAGTCTGATACATTTGCACAACACCACGTGTCCATCAGCAGTGATGCAGAACAGCTGGTTTAAAAACGATCAGTGGAGCGAGAATCTTCCATCTCACTGCGATTCCCTGCTGTTCACAAGCATTGTGTTAAATATCTTATTTATGACAGTAATCAAGATAACAAAAGCTCCTTCATAAAAAGCACAGCAGTCACACAAACTCAGCTAGATGACTTAACAGCAAAGAATGGAAGACTAAAAACTACAAAACCAGAACGTTCCATCTTTGCATTTCAACTGTTAAAGGCTGAATATGGAACATGAACACTGGCGACATCTCGTGTTTAGAGGTGGTAGCTGCAACATCATGAATCGTTTTTCAGCCATCAGGTGTTGGTTCACTGCTGACATGTTAAGTGATCAACCAGCATCATATCGTACAGGTTAAGGACCAATACGTTTACAGTATTTACAGTTAGAACATCTTCTGGGCTCAGAATCAGCTGCTCGACTCGTCAAGTCCACCATTTTACACAGTCCCAGCCTGGCTTTGTCGACCAGACTTTCTAGCACAACAGTGCCCTCTAGTGGCTGGTAGATGTAAACAAAGCTAGTGTCGTGCCCGAGAAAATTACAATTAGATTATTTTTATTATTATTTTTTTAAATATAGCTTTTAAAGGAAAAAATACATTCTGCACACCCGTAAATGCCCTGTGGAATAAAGCTTTTTTAAATTTAAAATGTCCCATATTCCGCCTTTGATGTTTTCACCATAGTGGTGTTTTCACCCAACAAGAAAAACATTTTCCTATAAACCATCCATGTCGGGGTTTCAGTGCCTGGATGTTTGGTTTGTGATTTAGTGAAAGAACAGCAGCTGTCAACACTGAACTCACACTGTAGAATCTCGGTAGTGAGGAACGCCTGGACTGATTGGTCCCAAAGGGTCTAGCTGTTATAGCAGAGGAGATACGAGAGGAACCCTCAGACCGCCGGTAACCACGGGGGAGGCTGGCTGAGCTGGACCATGGTGCAGCTGACGATAAGTATTTGGAGTTCTCATCAGCTGACAGAGCTCGTCCATCAAACGCTGAATCCCCCCAATAGGATGCTCGATTCTCTTCCTGGGATTTGTGGATCAGATCCTGCAAATTCTCAGCAGCAGCATTAACTCCATCCTGATTAACTGCATCTAGACAAAAAAGATGCATCTTTTTAAATCAACGGTGAAAAGAGGATTTTCACAATTCACCATGGATGAAGGAGGATTCAGAAAGTTTGATCGTATACTTTTTCTTGGTTGAACCGTAACAAGGAAGGAGGTTTGATTTGTGGAAAGGCTTTGTAGCCGAGCCTGTTCTGCTGAGGAGTGGAAAGACTGGCTGTTCAGGGCTTCGACTTGGGTCTGAGAGGTGAAAGGTTGATCTAGAGAAAGCGTGGTCATTCTTGCTCCACGTGAAGCCAAGGAGGCAAACTGGGGCTTTTGTCCTAAGGCACTCCCATCAGAAGTAGTCATATCCAATGATGATCCCTGAGAAGACACGAAACAAATACTTTTCTATATACATCCTGTTAAAGTGCTTTAATTATGTTGTCTCCATGTGGGATTATGTGGGTTCCTGAGTAATCGAGTATCTCACCCTAGGCAGATAGAAGATCGAGAGAAAATGTAGGTTTCAAACAAACCCAATGCTTCCTCAGCAGATGGACTACGTTTTACTGCTGCCAAGATTGAAAGAGCTTCCTAAAACTTCACTTTGCAAACTGAACTATCCATTAAAGGTCAAAAACAAAAACTGTCCGCAATCTTACCCGAATCTGGTTTTGGGAGTTAAAAGGTTCCTCAGTGGAAGAGCTGCGGATCAGCAGAGCTCGAGTGTGAGGCCTGAGGTCAGCGCTCAAGGATTTTGATGGAAGAGAGGTGGCGTAAGGACGGGGAGCAGCACTGTGCCTCCATGGCGACGAGTCTCTGGGGAATTTATGGAGGGAGTAAAAGAGGTAACACACACACACACACACACACACACACACACACACACACACACACACACACACACACACACACACACACACACACACACACACACACACACACACACACACACACACACACACACACACACACACACACACACACACACACACACACACACACACACACACACACACACACACACACACACACACACACACACACACACACACACACACACACACACACACACACACACACACACACACACACACACACACACACACACACACACACACACACACACACACACACACACACACACACACACACACACACACACACACACACACACACACACACACACACACACACACACACACACACACACACACACACACACACACACACACACACACACACACACACACACACACACACACACACACACACACACACACACACACACACACACACACACACACACACACACACACACACACACACACACACACACACACACACACACACACACACACACACACACACACACACACACACACACACACACACACACACACACACACACACACACACACACACACACACACACACACACACACACACACCTCTTCATCGGACCGTCCTGAGGCTCACAGACATGGCTCGTCACAGCCCCATTGGTCATCTGGTTGAAGACATGCTCCCTGTCCTGGGACTTCCTGAAGAGTTCAGACTTGGTGCTTCTGCGACGATTCTTCCACTTTGTCAAGTCCTGAAACAAACGTTTCACCTATTTTACTACAAAGTGCCATCTCAAACAGAATTCTAGAACAAAAAAAAAACTTTAACATGTTCAATTTTAGTCAGCAGAGTTAAAAATAAAAATAAGAGGATACACTTCATGTTCTAGACTCTAAACATACATAAATGAGGTATTTGATTACAATTGGCTTACTTCCTGCCACTGAGCTTCACAGTCTTTGGCAGCAACGTCACACTTTGGTTCGTTTTGACTCCAGTACCTCGCCGGGCTGGCGTTCCGTCCTCGAGTATAGGTGCCATTTCCGTTTGAAGTTTTGCAAACTGAGTACACCATGGGGATGTCGCTGAGGGATTTGCTCCTGGTTCAGAAAGAAATAAGGACATGCTGATGACACACGGAGCAAGCAAATACTGAATCGTTATGCAGGACCTTAAGTCCAAAGCTAATATTTCTATCAATTGAAATAAAAAGAGGAAAAAACTCTTACTAAAAAACACTAACATTTGTTAAAACATTTATTTTGTTTTAATAATTTGGGTTTGTCTCAGTCTTCCCAAATGAATTCTTAACACCAAATCTACAAGTAACACTCGCAGTTTAATAGCACCTAAACAAAAAAAAAAAAGACTCAATCATAAAGCAGCAATGCAAGCATGATCCCTAGTTTCTCCTCACAAGCATAACAGGCATGCTTGATGCTCTGCAACGTGCACAACAGGCTCCACATTTGCCAATTCCCACAGCACATTCTGCATCCAAACACCACAATCCTCAGTGAAGTGCAAGCAGGGAGCAGCATGCCAGTTCAGGAGGGTAAAAGACAGATGCTGTCTGCACAGCAACAGCCATAACTTGTACAGTAACAAGTAATGACATGGCTGTGGGCGACAGGGCCTCAGAAGTGGCATTTGAATAGCTTACAGCAGTATTTAGCAGGTGGTTTATTCTAAACATTAACATTATTTGATAAGAGAAAGCAAGGCTGATAAATGTGGAAGTCCGATACAAACTCTGCTGTGGATTCTGTGCTCAGGAAAAAAGCACTTCTGTACAAAAAGACCACCAAGTCTGCAGCAGACCTGCCTTTGTGGGTGCATTCAATGCAAAATAAAAGCAGATAAAGCAGCAGCAATGCAGACAATTACATGTTTAGGACTCACCAAATCCAGCCAGGGTTGACCTGAACTGGTTTCTCTGGCTTAACCTGGATTTGATAAAGTCTACAGAACCAGAAAAACAAATATATAAATGTGCACCAAACTGGGAGCCAAGAGGTTTGTTACATAACCACAACTGAAGGTACAAAATGTTTACACCCCAAAAAAAAAAAAATACTATTCTACAAACAACTTCTGGCAGCTATGAAACACTTCAAACCCACATCTTCATTTAAAACCAAATATGACGGCTGGTAGTTGTGTTCAACGTGATGTGCTGTTCAACGTGATGTGCTGCATAAAAATGAGTATTTGACAGTTTATTAGCCCACGGTGACAATTTTTCAACAACCATGTCACACAACAGCAAACTGGAAAACAGAGCTGACAGGAAAGCTGTTAGGAATAACACGATTCTGTTATGGCTACAGAGATTAAACAACACATGAGTCATGTTTAACAATTAGAAACAGTTGAATTACTCAGCATGATACTGTTAAAATGTCTTCACATCATCAGCACGATCAAAATAGTGAACATAAGACTGGTGAAGAAAAAAAAACATGTAGCATTTAGGAAAACACTCTTATGACAAACCGGTTAAAAAAATAACCGGCATGCAACAGCCTGTGCCGGTCGTCCAGAATAGTGTGGTTAGAAATAGGGTGCATGGAAGTCTACGTTTGGAGAAATGTTCTTCAGTAGGATTGTCTGTCGGAGACGTTTTGCACCAAAGCAGTGGGGGCTGCATGCTGGGAAATGATGTCCAACTCTTCAGAAAAGGCCAACGGTTTCTGGCTACAACAGGAGAATAAATTGTTACACAGAAAAGGAAACAGTTTAGTTGTTGCAAAGTCAAATTTTACAAATTGTTACTGGCCTGTAGCCAACTACAAATGGATTAGCATAAGCTAGATTCCTACTCATCTTTTGTATATTCATTCTTTTTCTTCTGAATGCAATTTTAGGTTCTTTTAAACACAGGAAAGGTTTTATTTCCTTGCCGACAGTTTTGATCACTCCTGTGATCTTCAGAGCTATTGGCGCCATTGGCGGCTAGCTCTGATGAAGATCGCAGGAGTGGTCAAAACTGTCAGCAAGGAAAAAACCTTTCCTGTGTTAAAAAAACAACCTAAAATTGCATTTAGATTCCTACTCATTTATATTGTTGCCACACACACACACACCTGCCTAAATTAAGTAGTAGTTAAATATTTTACTAATATTTTGGTGGATCACCGATCACCATCATTCAGGATTTGTTTCTATGATCGCATTTCTTCATCAAAGACGATAGCTCCCCACTATAATTCCAGGTTTTAATAACGTGTTTGACAGTTCTTAACCCGATTCTGCAATCTCATGTTCTCTCTGCTTGATGCACACCAATGATCTCACCCTTCTCAAACAGACTAACATCTTTTCAACGACGACCAGATGAGTCTTTCCACATGGATGTTTAGGAACTGAGAACAAACTCATTGCACCAGTTGGGGTTGAATAGCTTGTCAGCCGAAAGATAATCGCCCGTGCATTAACTATCTAATAGGAGGCTCGCACCTATGTTCTGTTAAATCCAGGCCAGGCAGTGTATACAAAAAGCCACAAATATCTGTTTAGTGGGTTATTTTGGTTAGCAAGATAAAAATTCCCATGCTCAATTAAGTAAAGTAAAAAGAAACATGTCAAACCAATTTCTAGCAGTGACTTAGCCTGGCCAGCCATGCCAATGCTTCCTCATGGGAAGCAAAGGGCCTGGTAACGCCCCCATTCAAATAACTCCACCCTCTAAGAATTCTAACCGAGCCAATCAGCGCACACACTCCTTTTCTCATAAACAAAGATGGTGCCTGAAGCAGAGTTCGCTGCAGCTCTTTCCGCTGTTCTAAATGACTTGGACATGTCTTTAAAACCATAATGAGAAGCGCTAAAAGTCTTCTAAAGAAAAATGTTTGCGCTGTCAGACCATCTTGGACTACAGCTAACAGAGTCATTTCCGCCTTTTTTCTGAGTGGTTATTTTAGTTATTTTTGAGCAGTCTAGTCCCGCCACTCAAGGTGCTCTCTGCCTCAGAGTGTCCAGACTCGTCCTCTAGAATAGACAAGAGAACGAGGCTGGCAGGCCAGGCTAGCACTAACCAGCCCAACAGTACAAATCTGTAGTTCTAGTTTAGCCCATGCATTAGTTTTCAAAGGGATATGACCATTTTAAAATGTGGGTAAATGAATGTTAAAATGTGATAGGTGGTAGTCGAGGGCGGGACTTGGCGGTCTGATCTTCGGCTACAGAAGCTGGCTCTTGGCACATGGAATGTCACCTCTCTGGTGGGGAAGGAGCCTTAGTTGGTGTGTGAGGTTGAGAGGTTCCAACTAGATATAGTCGGACTCACCTCAATGCATAGCTCTGGCTCTGGAACCAGTTTCCTTGAGAGGGGTTGGACACTATCACTCTGGAGTTGCTCCCACTGAGAGGCGCCAAGCACAAGTGGGCATACTAGTTGCCCCCCATCTTGGTGCCTGTACGCTGGGGTTTACCCCAGTGAATGAGAGGGTAGCCTCCGTCCACCTACTTGTGGGGGGATGGGTTCTAACTGTGGTCTGTGCTTATGCACCAAACTACAGTTCAGACTACCCACCCATTTTGGAGACCTTGGAGGGGGTGCTGGAAAGCGCTCCTTCTGGTGACTCCCTCATTCTGCTGAGGGACTTTAACGCTCACGTGAACAATGACAGTGAGACCTGGAGAGGTGTGGTTGGGAGGAACGGCCCCCCTGATCTGAATTCGAGTGGTGTTTTGTCATCGGACTTCTGGGCCAGTCATGGATTATCCATAATGAACACCATGTTCAGACATAAAGGTGTCCATATGTGCTCTTGGCACCAGGATACCTTAGGCCGCAGCTTGATGATTCACTTTGTTGTTTCATCTGACCTGCGGCCACATTTCTCAGACACGCGGGTGAAGAGAGGGGCGGAACTGTTAACTGACCACTACCTGGTGGCGGGTTGGCTCAGATGGTGGGGGAGGATGCCGGTCAGACCAGGCAGGCCCAAACGTATCACGGAAGTCTGCTGGGAACGTCTGGCAGAGTCTCCTGTCAGAAGGGGGCTTCAATTCCCACCTCAGACAGAACTTCCAAAATGTTCGGGGGGAGGCGGGGGGCATCGAGTCTGAATGGACCCTGTTCCGTGCCTCCATTGTTGAGGCAGCCGACCGGAGCCGTGGTCGCAGGACTGTCTGTGCCTGTCGTGTGCTGCTGACGTCTACTCAGGACGTTGTGGATCGGTGGGCAGAATACTTCGAAGACCTCCTCAATTCCACAGACACGTCTTCCAGTGAGGAAGCAGTCTGGGGACTTTGGGTTGGCCTTAAATCTCTGGTGCTGAGGTCACTGAGGTGGTTAAAAAGCTCCTCTGTGGCAAGGCTCCAGGGGTGGATGAGATCCGCCTGGAGTTCCTTAAAACTCTGGATGTTGTGGGGCTGTGCCGGCTGACGCAATATTGTGTGGACATCGGGGGCAGTCCCACTGGACTGGCAGACCGGGGTGGTGGTCCCCTTATTTAAAAAGGGGGACCACAGGGTGTGTTCCAACTACAGGGGGAACACACTCCTGAGCCATCCTGGTAAGGTCTATTCAGGGGTTCTGGAGAGGAGGGTCCGTCGGATTGTTGAACCTCAGATTCAGGAGGAGCAATGTGGTTTTTGTCCTGGCCATGGAACACTGGACCAGCCCTATACCCTTAGGGGGATCCTGGAAGGTGCGTGGGAATTTGCCCAACCAGTCTACATGTGTTTTGTGGATTTGGAGAAGGTGTTTGACCCTGTGGGGGTGGGGGGTGGGGGTGGGTACTCCGGGAGTATGGGGTACCAAGCCCTCTGATACGGGCTGTTAGGTCCCTGTATGACCGGTGTCAGAGCTTGGTCCGCATTGCCGGCAGCAAGTTGGGTTTGTTCTCAATGAGGGCTGCCCTTTGTCACCAATTCTGTTCATAACCTATATGGACAGGATTTCTAGGCACAGCCAAGGTGTGGAGGGCATCCGTTTTGGTGGCCTGAGGATCAGGTCTCTGCATTTTGCAGATTATGTGGTCCTGTTGGCTTCATCAGAGCGTGGTCTTCAGCTTTTGCTGGAGCGGTTCGCAGCCGAGTGCGAAGCAGCTGTGATGAGAATCAGCTCCTACCAGCTCGGAAAAGGGTAGAATGCCTTCTCCGGGTCAGGGATGAGGTCTTGCTCCAAGTGGAGGATTTTAAATATCTCGGGGTCTTGTTCACGATTGAGGGAAAACTGGAGCGCGAGATCGATAGGCGGATTGGTGCTGCATCTGCAGTGATGTGGGCGTTGTACCGGTCTGTTGTGATGAAAGGGAGAGTAGTCAAAAGGCGAAGCACGATTTACTGGTCGATCTACGTTCCTACCCTCACCTATGGTCATGAGCTTTGAGTAGTGACCAAAAGAACGAGACTGTGGATACAAGCGGCCGAAATGAGTTTTCTTCGCAGAGTGGCTGGGCTCTCCCTTAGAGATAGGGTGAGAAGCTCGGTCATCCGGGAGGGGCTCGGAGTAGACCCGCTGCTCCTCCACATCGAGAGGAGCCAGTTGAGGTGGCTCGGGCATCTGGTCAGGATGCCTCCCTGGTGAGGTTTTCTGGGCACGTCCAGCCGGGAGGAGACCTAAAAGTAGACCTAGGACACGGTGGAGGGACTACGTCTCATCTAGCCAGGGAATGCTTTGGGATTCCTCCGGAGGAGTTGGCCCAAGTGGCTGGGGAGAGGGAAGTCTGGGCCTCTCGCCTTAGGCTACTGCCCCCGCGACCAGACTCCGGATAAAATGGATGGATGGATGGATGGATAGATTAATAAATGTTTTACTGTTGCCCCCAAACGGCCATTGTTCTGGGAATGAAGTTTGCATCTCACAGCACTTGAGTCTTTTCTACGTGCATCCAAGACCAAATTGTGTTGCCATTATATTATTCTAGACATTTTACACCACCATGAGTTTTCTATTAGTTATCTACATGGAGTTTTAAAATAAGCAAAATATCACCTGCAGCCAAAAAGGTGTAGTACTGTAGGTAAGATCAAAGAGCAGTAAAAGGTCAGCTGAAATAATCTAATAGAAAAACCAATGTTATGTAAAATGTTCACATAAATAGCATTTATATCAAGTGTTGTAAGATTTAAGTGGCTTAACGAAGGATGAACTATTTCTCCAATGAGAAATAGAAAATGGCACAAAAAGATCCCTTTATACAAAGCTACAGTAAAATTTGTATTACTGCTCCAAATAAAGCAGACCTTAGGCCAAGCATTTTACGATACCACGGTCGTTTCTGGGAGCCAAGGTAGATCCTGCGAACGCGACTTTCCTCTTCAGGTGTCCACAGTTGAGGCAGGAAGCGATCATAGTCAGGATTGGCGAATGTCTGGTGCAGGGTCTGCTGCACTCGTCGAAAGTAAAAATCATCTAGCACTGGGTCTGCCTCTGTGTGATCATCTTCTGAATCCTCTTCACCCTGAGCTAGCTGAAATATCTCACTGAAGGCCCTCTTGGAAGGAGGCATGATGAGGTGTGATGGAGGAGATGGGGAACTGCTGCAGTAAAGATTGGCGTATCCATTTCCAATTACATGGACAAAAAGTGATATTTAACAATGATTAAAGGAAATGAACAAAGTATCTCCAAATGTTAAGAGGCAGCATCACCAGCTGTTAAGAGTGACAAGAAAAGTTACTTAAAATCATTTCCAGCCTTAAATATGAGTCGTTTTGAATCCTGGTTACATGTGTTAAGCAGAGCTAAGCAATGTACAGATGTTTTGTTAAATTCACTGCCTCCATGAGAACACTACCTTCTATATATGGGTCAGCAATTTACATCAAATGTCATTTATTCTTGGGAGAGAAAACAGTGCAATCGTCATCGAGTTTGTCCAAATCATGTTCAGTTGAACAGATTCAAGTAATCAGAAATCAACAGGTAACTGCATTAGTTCTGCAGCAGCATCTTTAAATCAGAGCCTTTTTGCACAATAAGATGTACCACTGGCTCAGTGGTGGAAGTTTCACACTTCATCGTGATTAGAGCTCTGGTCTATTTGCAAGATGAGGAATTAATTGTAAAAGTTGCGTCTGTAGGTAACACCAATCTCTTCACAAAGTAGTTTTTCCAGAATGAGCATTTCTGGTCTTCAGCCCCTGATCTTTGTTCGACTCATGGACCTTTTGTTGTTGGTACTTGGCACCATGCTTTTGAATTATGTTGTCAAATATGTTACTGAAATATCCAGTTCGTACTTGTATAGTGCCTTTCAGGGTCAGAGGACTCCAAAGCCTTTTACACTACAGTGCATCACCCAAGAATTCCAGTCGCATTCGTTTAAAACCCCTTTGGGTTTGAACCTACAACCTACCCGTCTCAGGGTGGGCACTTATACAGCTAGGCCACTGAGCTAATGTGATTAAAAAGAACAAAGCAGCACAACCACACGTTTAAATGCTCAGCAAAAACAAGCAAAAATCCAACAGACAGTGGAAAGAAAGGTTAGTCACTGCAAGCTAATTTCTTCTGCAAGGTGAGTGCTGGGATAAGCAAGTTAGGGTGTTGAGTTTGTGAACACACCAGACAACACATGATCTTTACCTGGGCAGAGGGCTCCCAGAGCCCCCAGCGTTGTTCTCTTCTCCCCGTAGAAGTGGTGATCGGACATAGCCTCTGTTTTGGTGGGCTGACAACTTTCTGTTCATCTTGAACACTTGCTCTGCCTCTGAGTCACTTCCACAACCTTAAGTTTACACGGGAAGATGAGAAAGAATTTTAAAAAAGGAAACAGAAAAGGAAAAAAATTGAAAGTAAAGAAAAGCTGCACATCAGACAGGAGAAAAATCCTTGCAGGATGACAGCCTTCAAGCAGCCAAGTCTCTAGGGAGCATCAAGCTAAGTAATGAACCCTCTCTCATAGCGCACACACACACACACCACAATGTGGAACTTCACACAATGCAACTTTGACGTGCACCAAGCCTGGCATAGGCACATGCAGCCAAATTATAATATGAAGTCATAGGATCAGCAGCTGAGAAACAAATTCTTCTGTTGCCCCCCTTTGGAGGTGCTTGGGTTGCCTCAGGGGGTGGTCTACTGGCAGTTGTGAGTGGGTCCCCTTGGAGGTCTTGACGGTGACCATGGGTCACTGCCCGGCAGCTGCATTGCTCCTGGGCGGGTCTGAGCGGGGCCGGGTCCTGACATGTATGCTGCCGGGGAGAAGGCAGGAACATGCGGCAGTGCCTGGCTCGGGTTCAGGGGCCTCAGGTAGACCTTGGCTCCTCTGCTGTCCCATCACAGGGGAGGCAGAAGTCCAGGAGGGGGAGGACCCAACCTTACCTGGATGTCCTACAGGTGCTGGCCAGTAAATTAGAATATCATGAAAAGGTTGAAAATATTTCAGTAATTCCATTCAAAACGTGAAACTTGTACATTATATTCATGCAATGCACACAGACCAATGTATTTCCAATGTTCATTACATTTAAATTTGATATTCATAAGTGACAACTAATGAAAACTCCAAATTTGGTATCTCAAAAAATTAGAATATTCTGAAAAGGCTGAATATAGAAGACACCTGCTGCCACTCTAATCAGCTGATTTACTCAAAACACCTGCAAAGGCCTTTAAAAGGTCCCTCAGTCTTGTTTTGAAGGCACCACAATCATGGGGAAGACTTCTGACTTAACAGCTGTCCAAAAGACAATCATTGACACCTTGCACAAGGAGGGCAAGACACAAAAGGTGATTGCTAAAGAAGCTGGCTGTTCGCAGAGCTCTGTGTCCAAGCACATTAACAGACAGGCGAAGGGACGGAAAAAATGTGGTAGAAAAAAGTGTACAAGCTCTAGGGATAACCGCACCCTGCAGAGAATTGTGACGACAAACCCATTCAAAAATGTGGGGGAGATCCACAAAGAGTGGACTGCAGCTTGAGTCAGCGCTTCAAGAACCACCACGAGGAGACTCATGAAAGACATGGGATTCAGGTGTCGCATTCCGTGTGTCAAGCCACTCTTGAACAAGAAACAGCGCAAGAAGCGTCTCGCCTGGGCCAAGGACAAAAAGGACTGGACTGATGCCGAGTGGTCCAAAGTTATGTTTTCTGATGAAAGCAAGTTCTGCATTTCCTTTGGAAATCAAGGACCCAGAGTCTGGAGGAAGAGCGGAGAAGCACAGAATCCACGTTGCATGAGGTCCAGTGTAAAGTTTCCACCGTCAGTGATGGTGTGGGGTGCCATGTCATCTGCCGGTGTTGGCCCACTCTGTTTCCTGAGGTCCAGGGTCAATGCAGCCGTCTACCAGGAAGTTTTAGAGCACTTCATGCTTCCTGCTGCTGACCAACTTTATGGGGATGCAGACTTCACCTTTCAACAGGACTTGGCACCTGCACACAGTGCCAAAACCACCAGCACCTGGTTCAAGGACCATGGTATCCCTGTCCTTGATTGGCCAGCAAACTCGCCTGACCTTAACCCCATAGAAAATCTATGGGGTATTGTGAAGCGGAGGATGCAATACGCTAGACCCAACAATGCAGAGGAGCTGAAGACGACTATCAGAGCAACCTGGGCTCTCATAACACCTGAGCAGTGCCACAGACTGATCGAGTCCATGCCACGCCGCATTACTGCAGTTATTGAGGCAAAAGGAGCCCCGACTAAGTATTGAGTGCTATACATGCACATTCTTTTCATGTTCATTCTTTTCAGTTGGCCAACATTAGAGAAAACATTTTTTCATTGGCCTTTAGAATATTCTAATTTTCTGAGATACCAGATTTGATGTTTTCATTGGTTGTCACCTATAAATATCAAATTTAAATGTAATGAACATTGGAAATACATTGGTCTGTGTGCATTGCATGAATATAATGTACAAGTTTCACGTTTTGAATGGAATTACTGAAATATTTTCAACCTTTTGATGATATTCTAATTTACTGGCCAGCACCTGTATGTCTTGTATAATCTGGAAGTTGTGCAAATGCAGGGATGGGCATAGGTATTCTGCTGGGGTGGGGCTGGGTTGGTGCCCTCAGACTCCGTGAGGCTCTGTGATGCTGCTGCTTTGGGCCCTGGCAGGATGGGCTGGGGTCTCCATGCCCTGGGTGGCATTTTGACAGAGGTGCCTATTGGGGCCAGTAGGGGAGCTGGCTCCCTGGAGGGCTAAGCCCAACCAGCCATTCCTCCCCATCCCCGCATATTTCTCTCTTCCTGCTCCCTCACATCATGACACAATCATGCACACAGGACCTTGGGGGGTGGACAAGTCAGGGAGTGCGGGTATAGACCCCATTTCCGCATTCCTGTGGCAACCTGCCCCCCCCCCCCCAATTTTATCTGCACCTTAAACACTTCCACCAACGACATTCCATGCAAACACACACGTAACCTGTTACGTGTGTGTTATAATTTCCGAGGTGCGCGTTGCGGAAATCTTGGGCCGTGCGGAGACGCGGTGGAGGGGCGTGGTTGTTAAAATGACGCAACTTTTCCGCGCGGAGCCGTGCGGACCTCGCGGACGCGTCAAGCATAAACCAACCTGTAGGGCCTTGGGAGTGAGCACATCCAACGACATTTGGCAGGGGGGTTTCTCAGCCTCATCCCAAGTGCCGGTGCCAACTTCCAATTTTAAACCGCACTTAGACACTGAGGGCTGTGGGTGCAAGTAGGGTGGTGTGGTGGCATCAGCTGGCATAGGCCAGACGATGCCCGCACACCACAGCCATGGAATAAACCTCATCAACACTCACTAACACCATATTGGAGCAGGCGGAGGGAGACTAGGGGTCTTCGCACACCTCAGTTTTTACTTTGTTTCCTGGGGCTGGAGGCTAGGAGGGAGATCTGGCTGTCCGGTTGGGGTCTGGGGTGGTGAGTTGCTGTGCTCAGCGTTGGGCAGGGGAGCCTGCTCATCAGCACCCCAGCAGAAAGGGTCAAACTCTGGTAGCCAGTGATGGTTGTACCCCATGTGCAGCATGTACAGGGACCAGAGTGAATAGGGTGTGTATGGGGAGCATCAGTGGGTGTCCGGCATGCATTTTTGTAAGTCTTTGGTTGTATGTGCATGTGTGAGCATGAGAGAGGGAGTGTGCGACTGTTTGTGTATGACTGTGTATGTCAGGTGGGGCCTTTGACTCCTCCCATCTCCTGAGACTTTTGATGATATAGATCTTCATCTCCCCTCTCCCTGCCACACCTGGTGTGGAGTGCGGTGCCTTGGTCTGCCTGGGTCGTGGCTCTCGGGTAGGGCTGGGCGATATGACGATTTTAGACCGTTTTACGATCTACACATCTGACGGTCTGTCATTTTTGAGAGACCGTTTTATCACGATTCACAGCTCTGCTGTTGAATTTCTGCCTCTGAATGAAAATGGAACTTACCTCAGGCGAATGACACGCCTTTGTTTGACCCTTAACCAATCAGAGTAAGTCATAGTAATATATTAGTGCCCCGCTTGTTTACACCTGTGTGTGAACAAACATGGCTTCGCCGCGGCTGAGCGACAACGAGGTTTTCGTTCCGAAGAGGAACGCAGGGTTTCCTTAGCGCGCGGCGCTAATAACTTAGCGACGTGACATGTCTCGGAGAAAGCGTAAAAACACGTTGGACGCTTCTTCTGAAGCAGGAAAATAACACCGCTTCTTAAGAAGAGCATGACGCCGCCTCGGCTCGTCCACCCTCTGCCGAACCGGTGTCTGTACAGTCACTGGGTCGCTGGAGCTGCCCCGTGACTGCCTGATGGAAAACCAGCGGGTTTCATCAGACTCGTAGTTTCTTGTTTTTGCTGGGGACCCCCTGTATTTTACCGCTCCCTCCTGCAGTCTTCCCCTATTACAATTTAAAATGATTCTGTAAACTCCGTGTATCAATAGAAACAATCTCTGCCTCTGCCAGCTGCAGTAAATGTAGTTTCCAAATAATAAGACGTGCATTCATCTGTGTATCTCCTTTGATCCGCATTAGTGATATTTTCAGCACCAGAACAGTGAAGAAAAGAAAGATTCCTGAGTTTGTTAGTAATTTTATTTATTAGGTGCATCTAACCTGTTCTATTTTTCTCTGAAATGAGATCAAATCAGTGCTTCTATGGGTTGTCTCCAATCTGCACTGGAAATTTTTACTTTATTTAGAGACTTGTTGCAGAAAATATTCAGAATGCGCAGTTTTTTCTACCACAAGCGATCTCTGGTCCAGCCGCACATCAGAGCCGTGTTTGAGCTTAACTATCCACTACATGAGCAACTGGGAGCTACATAGTATTTTGAACAAGTTAATGTTTGCACAATACGTTTGCAATTGACATGTTTGCACTTTAAATATGTTTATGATTTTAATTTATGTTAAGTTACTTGAAAAACGAGAACTGATTTTTGTAATTGTTTCTCAGGGCTTTTATCATCTCTGGTGTGAGTTTAAAATATAAGTGTGTTAGCACTGTGCTGATTATCCCTAATATGAATAAATGTTTATTTATTCAATGTTTCTCTTCTTTAATACGCAATTGAAGTTATGCTATTCATGGATAAAAAATTGTGATAAAATCGAAATCGTGATAAAATATTGGAAAAATCGTGATATTCTATTTTTGCCATATCGCCCAGCCCTACTCTCGGGTCAAGGAGTTTAAGATTTTTGGCATTTGTCAGACCAATCCCGATGGCGGCCTGGTGGGGTCTGGGTCCCTGGGCTCTGCTGTGTCCCCGGTGGGGGTGGTCGCCCCTGGGTCCCAGGTGATTGGGTCCCGGGCTCGGCCGGCTAGGGGGTGGGAGCCTGAGGGCTGACCTGTGGGCTTGCTGCTGATATCTCCTGGGACTCTGCCGGCTGCTGGTTGTGGCTCCCCGGGGCGATCCTCTGCGGCTCTTGAGGGGGCAGGGGCTTTTCTGGTCACAGTCTCCCTGGAGTTCCTGTGCTCTGGGGCAGCACCTGGATATCTGGGACTTGGAGCTCCCCCCATCTCCTGCACATCTTTGAGGGGCAGATCTGTGGCCCCTCACACTATTGGAAGCTCCTATAGATAAACCTTACATATACAAGCGCGTGTACACACACAGGTGCTCACATGGTGCTCTCATAAGTATGGACTTGGGCAGGTTCAACACATATCTTAAGGCTATGGTGGGCACTTAATGCACTGTGATTTATTATCGTGCGATTGTTCAGTTAAACTAAGTTGACTCAGTGATAGCTTGATCTTTTTGTATTGTTGCGTGTTTTTTTCCCCCAAAATGTTTTATTCTTTTATTTTAAAAACTAATCCCTCCAAAATTCCAACAAATCTCTAAATTGACATTTATTTAAATATTTATTAAATAAACATTTCTAACTTTAATGTCAGAAACAAAAGTCAGAATACTGATTTTATTGAGAAATTTAACGGTATTCTCAGATTAATAAGGAGAACTTTTATTTCTCCCAAATTACAAATAGTCTGTTTTCAAAAGGTCCTGTACCATTTGAGGCTCTAAATATGAATTGGCAAAAATAAACACACTGAAAGATCATAATATTTTAAGTTATGATACCGAAACAACCCCCACCCCACCCCCCACCCCCCCACCCCCCTTTGTCTCCCTTTCCCTTTCACCTCTGCATGTCTGGTCGGAATTAAAGAGCATTCAAAAACAATAACAATAAAGTTTTATGTATCAGGCGTGACATTAAAGCAGACGCTTTGATGCTCCACCTGAGTGTAAATCTGTAAGGCTTGTCATCAGCATTCAGACATCAATTATGTTTGCTTCACAGCCAGACAGGACACTGAGAAAAAAAAAAAAAAAAACTTCAAAAATAAAAAAAAGTCTGCACGATATCTTCATCGTCGTGAATACACAACGTAAAAATGCAGACAGAAAAAACATTCAGTCTGATGTAGTAATACAGACGTGCTGTATTAACACTGTACACACCTTCAGGTAGGCGGCTGGTGTGAGTGTTCAGGGACTCAAAACCATCCACGGCATTCACTGTAGCAGAACGCATGTCAGGACACTCCTCACCCTCTGAGGAGCGGCGATCCTTGTTTTCATCTTTCACACACACATTACTGCCCTCTTCTAAGGCCTAGTTTCACAAAACAAGATTGATATTGATATAAATTTTATTCATCTATGGCCTAGGATCAAAAATAGCATCTTACCTTGGACAAAGCTAAACCCAACAGTCCCTCAAAGGCCTTGAAATTAAGCTGAGGACCATCATACCATGTGTTTAGTTGAGCCTTGCGACCCAACCAGTAGATTGTAATAAGAACCTAAAAAAGGAGTAAATAGATTTTAACATGTTTTATACAAACATCCCTTGTTTACTATAGAAATAGAAATATATACAGTAGTTCCTCGCTATAATGCAGGCCACCCTTCATGACCTCGCTGTTATCAGACTTTATTCTGGTGATTTTTAAAAGGTGACAACAAAAATTGCCGCCGACAAAAAATCCAACCAGAAAATGGAAGATAGGCAAACCGATCAGTAATTGGGAAAGGCGGGACTAGACGAGACACACGGGCCTGAAGGAGTTCTGAAGTGTGCTGGTGTTGCTAATGCTAACGGTTAGCTTTTACTAGCAGATACGTTCTTTGCAGATTCCTGAACACTAAACCAACGACAGCCTTCCTCGTTGTGAGTCAAGATGGGTTAGTCGAATGTTAAAGTTTGAATATGGAACATGAACAAGGCAAACTCTGGTGTAAGAGGTGGTTTCGCAACAACAGAACTAATTTTCCAGCCGTTGGGATGTTGTTCACTTCCGACACGTTCCAGCACCATGTTCAGTGATGAATCGTACACTCATTTCTACTAACAAGTTTATTTCCTCTTAGAACATTTTATGGGCTCAATCAGCTGCTTGACTTGTCAAGTCCGACATTTTACAGTCTTAGTTTGCCCTGCTGAGCAGACTTTAGCACAACTTTAGTGGCTGGCAGATGTAAAAATGAACTTGGTGTTGTGCTCAAAACAAAATGTAATTTTTTTTTTAAATATAGCTTTTAAAGAAGAAACTTAATTCATTCTGCACACCTCTAAATGCCCCCTGGAGGTATTATTTATTATTTAAACATAACGTTTTATTCAAATTTTCCATATTCTAACTTCAAGTAACAGTGTGACGTAGATCTGTCAGGCGTCTCAAATTCTAGAGATTCACCATTTATTTTCTATCAGACGATGTAGGAGACTATTTTCATGTACAGCCTGTTTGAAACACTCAGTGACTGATTATAATCAAGATGGGTTTTCAGTGAACATCAAAGCTTAATATAAAAATTTTCAAAAACCATTTTAGGGGTTTTGGAGGTAAATAAATATATGAACTTACATTTTTGAGTCGCCGCTGACTTTCATCCTTCCTGAAACGATAAAAGACCAATTTGCAACAGCAGAACTTATCATGATCATATCGCTATATTCTGACTTCATTTACTAATGGACAACCAGAATGCAGTTAATGCATGCCCAGTAAAACAGCCACAAAGACATCACAGTGGTCCTCATTTGCAACCTACCAATGATCAGCCGGTTATCAGCTTTTATAAAGAACAACTTCCATAACAGGACGATTCAGTCAGGCAAAGCTTTCATCACTATCAATGCAAAGCGACTCATACAGTTACCTTTTTCAGCACAGGTGTCATAAAATCCTAAAACTAACAGATGCTTACCTGAAACATCCCATCAGTTTACGTGACTAATTATGGTGAAAGTTGTAGAGATAAAACCGAACACAAGGCTCTTATGTCCTAAACAAATAAGTCTAGCATTTGAAAGTTATGATGACATGTGGAGTCTTAGAACCGTCACCTGAGGGTGACCCGAGTGGACAGATCCTGAAGGTCACCAGGGTGAAACAGCTGCGACTCATTAAGGCCAAGTCGTCCACAGGCTTTCAGAAAAACATTCACGTTGTCCTAAAGTAGCCAAAAGATCAAAAAGGTTCAGAATAGGTGAAAAAATATTAAATACTTGGGATCAGATTATACAAAGTAAGCCTTCAAATTAGTAGGAGAGTAGAAGCTGGAAAGTGCCTGATCCACAGTAAACATGGATGTGTTTAGCTGCAGCTCCATTAGGGGCTGGGACTGCCCATCGATAATTACTGATTTATCAGTAATTATAAGTGTTTTAGACACAGCAGATTTTAACAGCCAGAGACAACCATTAATTAGGAATTGATAAAGTCGGCTGTTTAAAATTGCTCTCTTTCTGCTCATGCATAGAACAAATACTGAGTTCTTGTAAGTGTCGATACATTTCCCAAGTCAAATAATTTACTTCATAAACAAGCATTTAACTTTTATTAGCATGAGTGAATATACTTTAGTTATTGTGGTTCTGAGGCATTTTGGGAAGTGAGATGCAGCTCAGGATCATGTCCAGACAGAGGTGGTAATGATAACTATCCAACAGTTTCAGTCCCGATGAATAACACTTTCTACTGACACGTAGATCAGTTTTGACAGCTGCCTTGTTAAATATTAGTACATTTAGTGGATTAAAAACATGCAAACCCCAGGTAAGGCCCTCTAGGCTGTAAAATCAACAAGACCTCTCCTGTATCTGCATCTCACCACCAGAACTCCTGCCTCAGTTGTTACGCTCAGTCAATTTGCTGGCCTCTGTGGAGAGGTTGCTATCGATGCTTCTCTGCTCTTGCTTTGGGCAGTTTTGGTAATTAGGCTTGTATGGCGCCACTGAAACACAGCCCTGAGCCCAAAACAAAGAAACTCTACATTGCATTGATGCCCGATAAAACTTTATATATGCAGCAACCTGGTTCTGGCATAGAAATGCAGTTTCAGGTTTATTCAAAAAAACACTACAGGCACGCAGTCTTTGGTGTCTTGACAGGAAACCACTCAATGTGTCAACACTTCCTGGTTAACAGGTGCTTTGTTATTTTCCTATTGCACTCTTGACACATGCATCAGATGGCTGAAGTGTGAAGTCTGTCACTCACCAGGCCAGCGATTGGAGTGGAAAGCCTGTTCACTCTCTTGATGATGCCAGGCTTCAGCTGGTTGATCAGGCTTCATGAAGAAATGAGAAATTAGCAAAAGGGCTGAATGTTAAGGAATTACTGAGACATGTCATTAGCTACATGTGTGTGCATCACCTAAATTCTTAAGAATGGGTTGCCTCATCGGTCTATTTAAAAATAAACTTGTATTCTGCATTGCAGCAGTTTAATTCAATCATCCCAACCTAAAGAGAACCATTACTCACTCGCAAAGCAGGACTCCGTTCTCCAGTGCGGCACGGAAGTTGTTGCAACCGAAGGATTTTCCAGTCACTTCCTATTAGAAGCAACAAGGAAAAAAGGGATATCATTTAATCCACTGACAAGTACATTTCTCTCACTTCTAAAAACATTCTGGATTTTAAGGATTCGTCCGACTGCATGGTGGACACTGACATGCCAAAGATGCACTGCAGCTTCCAGCAGCATTTGAAAAGATAGGAACACTCGTGCAGAATCAGGTCAGCAGCTAGGATGAAAACGGAATTTGCACAGACTTCTTAATTCATTTGTGTTTATTCAGATTTTAATTTAACAGCTGGGTTGATGCTAAACAGAAATATTTAAAGCAGGAGAATAAACAGATATGGTGATTTATTGTGGTCTAAAATGAACGAAATGCTCAGATTCACATTTAAACTTCACAATAAGCTCTTATGACAAACTACAATGGCAAATTTGGAAAACACATGGGCTAACACCCCCCCCCCCCTCAAATTTCTAACATAGTATAGCTATAAATATGTTGTGGATCCTCCACTCATTACGCACTATGCATCTAGCAACAGAACACCACTGGTTCGAGGGGTTAGCAGCTCAATGATATCAGGAGGAGAAACAGTCAGCTGCTACCTCTTCAACTTTAGGACAAACTACCAGAGTCCCAAAAAGAAAAACACCATTTGAAGTCACAAACAAAAGACATTTGGACCTAGAAAACAGCAACTGCTGTTCAGTGCTCTTTTGTTTCCTCTTGAAATGTGGGTTCTGGTAGAAGCGTGTCAGGGACAATACCCGAGGGGAAGGGCGAGTGTTCTGTGACCAGGTTTGTGTTCAAAACATAGCTTGTTCTATAAAGTTGCTAAGGCAACATCAAGCACATTGTCTTTTAATACACGTTTTGACCTTTCATGGAGATCACCCAGTGGCGCAAACAGGAAATGCCTGATTTGATGAGAAGTTAGGCGTCAGGATTAACAACGTAACACTGGCTGGCCAAAGAACACAGGTACGCACATCTTACTTTTGTGCATCCTTGAAAACATCTCACAAGATCCTGTGTGATCCCGTTAGCACACAAGTCAGCAACCAACTGTAAATATTAGATCAAAGTTCACAAATGAACATGTTAATATTTATTGCATTTGATTAGTGATTAGCTGCAGCAGCAATATTAAGAGTACCCTAAATGTTACCCAGACGTATCCAATGACTTCTTAGTTTCATTAAAGTACATCAAGTGATTCATGAGATGTCGCCAACAGTTAGACACCCACGCATGAACAAATAAAGGCAAAAGCATCGTCTTCCTTTTGGCAGTAAGCAATATTAACTGTGGCAATCATCCTTAAATCTAAGATGACCACTTTCGCTTCTCTAAGTAGAAGAAAACAATTCCATTTAATCCATAGAGTTGCAAGTTTTATCTCAACAGCCTAAAAGTAACGTTTAATTTCAACCACTTAAACACAATGGCATTATTTGCAAAACAAAAATGTACAAGAAAAAATGTATGTAGACATTCATTAGCATAAGTTATTTTTATGTATTTATTTTTGGCAAAGACCAAAAATAAAAGATTGCCATTTTTTTCCAGCAGGAGCATGCTTCGGGCAAGAGGGCTTTGTAATGAGGACATAAAAATGGGACTAATAAAGTCCGCCTCTATGGCTAACAGAGGGCCCCCAAAAGGCTGTTCTTCTCACCAATTAGTCCCCCCAGGAACCCACAATAATAACTCCATTTCAGCTGAATTGGGCACACACGGATGCTTCTCAGTGGAATCAGTCAAACAATGCAGCGCAAGGTTAATGCAGCTTAACACAATGTGCCACTGTGGTATACGGTCTGCATCGGGGCTTTAATTGGTTCTCAACAGCTAAGAGTCTACAGATGCAAGACGGGATTTTCACAAGTCAGATATAGTTCATTCAGGACCAGAAGTGCCACTTCTTGGCCGATTCCAGTTTCTTGGAGGTGAAGATTTTAAGCATTTAAGGATATGAACAAAGAAACATGTATTCTAACATTTTTCTGATTTGAATTTGAATTAAGGGGAACTGAATGCAAGGTTGTCCTTCCTAAGACGAGGACAATCCCCCACAGCAGGAAAGCATTTGGAACCATTTGACTTTGCTTCCTCAAGTTTCACACAAAACAAAAATTGCTTTTCTACATAAAACATGGAGGCTGATCCATTCTGATTGTGAGACCAGCAGGTACTGAGCAAACATTTCCATGCAGCTGCTCGGGATAAAACAGCTATGTATGGATTCTGCAAGCCCATTATCTCACAGCCTGGCTGGGTCTTTCTGTGATACCACATTCATAGCGTCATTTGGCACAAGCAAGAGCGTTCAATTTACTATTTGAAAACCAGCACGCCTTGCTTCACTCCTGTCCGTCTAACACACACATCTCATCATTGTTTGCCTTCCTTTGATCTGTCAGTGCAGAAAAATAGACGCGTAAAATTGGCATGGGCTTCCTGCCAGCAGAGGCCTGGACAGAAACTCTCATAACGATATTCTCAGACATAAGTGACATTAATGGTCCCATTTGGAGTTGATTGACACACTGTGTCTACAGTCCACACGTTTGGTTTATTGGTTTTGATTTGAGGAAGTCTAAAATTATTGGACAGGAGCAGGCAGAGATATTAAGAGAATGTTTAGCTGCAAAACTACATCCTCCAGGATGCGTGCCAAAGTGTGTGTGGCTCAATGGTGCGCCAAGACCCTGCACAAACCTCCTTTTGCAGGTTTAACTCTTCTTACAGGCCGATATTAGTGGAACAATTAAGGCCAAGCCATGCTTGTTAGTGTCTTCTGTCCATTTAGACCATTTTATCTAAACAGCTGTTTTAAAATGTGCCTTTGTATTTATTCTCAGAGCCAACTCTACACATTTGCTAGTTTACAATATTTTAAAAGTTGCAAAAATAAATAAATAAAAGCCTATAAGTCAAGAATCAGGGTGAAAAGTTCTCATTAACGTTTAACTTCAATAACAATCGATGCACATGTGATTTCACTTCCTGTCTTCACTATAACGGCGTGCAAAAATAGAAGCAACAGTTGCGTCTCTGTAGGAAACAGAAGGAAAAAGATGTGAAACTAAGAACCAACCTCAATCCAGCGTTGAGCCTCGTCGAAGGCGTCTTCACAGCTGACGCTGCTCTGTTGGCGCCACTCCATCCCAATCTTCTCACCGAAAGAAAGTTTCTAATTAAACAGCAGAACCGCGGCTTGAATCAGCAGAAAGAGCCTCAATGTGTTGAAGTGACTCAAAGTTTAGGATGAAAGAGGAAATAAATAAGCTCCTACCTGATGCAACTCGTCCTGCAGCTCACAGGTTGAAGCTCTCTGTTAATTAGGAGACGTCACTGACAGGTTATTGGGTAAAGTGGAGCTTAAAGTCTCCGCCCACTAATGTAAAGTTTATGAAGGTAGGAAGTAGTTCAATGATTAGCCTCCTGGTGGTCAGTTAGGGTATAACACCAGAGTCCTTATAAATGTTGAGAATGTTTGCAATTTATGGAAGTCCATTCATAGTGTTTATCTTATACAGTCATGCACTGACATAATTTCACATATTATTATTATTATTATTATTTATTATTTGTGAACTGTTTGACTTAAGTATAAAAAGGAGGACTAGGCCCACTGAATAAAAAAAAGAAAAGAAAGATAAGTCTGACTTTAATCTCAGAATTCACATATTTTTTCTCAGAATTCTGACTTTTTCTCAAAATTATTAGTCAGAGTTCTGAGATTAAAGAACTCTGAGAAAAATGTTAAAATTCTCTATCTTTACATTTTTTTCCTTATATATATGAGATGAACATCCCAGGTATTTAACCCTCCCACTGTCCTAATGGGTGTGGCCCAGCGAGGAAAATTGACCATTGAGCAGCCGACAAGTACATGAGGCTGCACAACTGTACATCTGAGGTGGTTGTGTGCTGTACAAGAGCTCCACATGGTACAGTGCTCTCACCCTTTCTCTTCACCTTCTACACCTCAGACTTCACCTACTACATCAGCAGTTGTCACCTCCAGGCATTCTCTAATGACTCGGCCATTGCCGGCTGTGTGTCTGAGGGGAACGACCTGGTGTACAGGTCAGTCATCATGGACTTTGTGGACTGGTGTGAGTGTAACCACCTTCGCTTGAGCACCAGTAAGACAAAGGAAATGGTGATTGACTTCCAGAGAAACATTCCTCCTCACTCCCCAGTAAACATCCAGGGAACAGACATTGAGGTGGTGGATACCTTTAAGTACCTGGGTGTTCACCTCTACAGCAAACTGAACCGATCCAACAACACAGATGCTCTGGATAAGAAGGGCCAAAGCTGCCTCCACCTCCTGAGGAGTCTGAGGTCCTTTGGAGTTAATTCCTCTCTGCTAAAATCCTTTAATCACTCTGTGGTTGGACCTGTTATCCACTCTGCTGTGGTCTGTTGGGGTGCAGGCAACTCTGACCGGGACAGGAAGAGACTAAACAGCTAGTTAATAAAGCTAGCTCAGTTCTGGCCTGCCAATTGGATTTAGTTGAGGAGATGTCAGAGGAGAATGCTGGGGAAGATGACCTCCATTTTAAAAACCGCTTCAACCCATTGTGTTCTACTTTGGAGACCATAGACAGCTCCTTCAGAGGCAGAGTGAGACATCCCAGATATAAAACAGAACACTGCCGTAGATCTTTCCTTCCCTCTGCAGTAAGAGTGTATAACTTGTTAGTTTAAGCTGTAGTGGCATTATCCTGGTACACAATAACATCAATGTAATACCCAGCATGTGTTCAATACATGTGCATTACCGGATTTAAATACTATATCTGTGTTCCTTACATTATGCTGCATAGATCTAGAACCCAAGTTCTTAATTTTTATCTTTTTTATAGTGGTCGAAGGTTAAACTCCTAGCTTACTGTCAGTGTGCATATACATATACCTTTGTAATTATTTTCTTCAAATGATTCTCTTACATGTTGGTGCTGCTGTAACAAGTGAATTACCCACCCTTCTATGTTTGTTGAATGCATAACATGAAGGTGGTGATTCTTTACCCCAAAAGGAAGGTTTAGCTTTTTGTGTCTTTTAACGAGTGATGTAGTAAGGAGCAGAAGATGGACCAGTGGATCAGTAATGAAGATTGAAGATGTGACAAAAGGAACTCTCACCTGTAGCCAAGAGATTTGTAACGTGACCAAAAGATTAAGATCCTGGAGGAAAGTTAGCGTTTTCCTCAGTTTCTGCTCCTCCACAATGCCTGGTCTGGCTCCATTGAAGTTTTATCAGTCTTCTCCCACTAAGAGGAGACAGTGAGGGGGACCCAAAATTCCCCAGAGGGAGTGTATATCCTCTCTGGCCTGACAACACCAAGAGGAACTGAAACGTGTCACTGGGGTGGGGAAAGTCCAGGTTTTGCAGCAGAAACAGAAGTAAGAACACTCTTGACATTTATAGGGAGACTTTGTAGTTTTGGCTTGCTTTTAGCACCCCCTAGTGTCCAGTTAGTGAAACCAAAAGTGAAACCTCGCTGTGCGTTCGTATTTTTACTCCCATAATTTACCAGCTGAAATGTCTCCTTAGCCTTCATGAAGTATCTAGAGGAGCAGTTCATAACCAAATTAAACAATCAGCTGTGTTTATGATCTAAAACATGCAGGAAACTTCTGGAAGCAGACTACAGTACCATGCATGTCAGCTCAATTTTGCTAAGTCCAACAGGGATCAGCCCGCTACTCTGAAGTTGCAAGTGCGGTATTCTGGCCACAGAGGGCAGTGGGATCTGGGGTGACGCTTCATTAACCTTTTAAAGGGTTATTTTAGCACATACTGGCTCAAGAAACTGATTTAAAAATATGAAAAAGTTAAATAGGTATGTCTTTAAAAATGTTCTCACTTGGTTCTAATATTTAAATCTCCAAAAATAAATGTGCTTTGTGTATTTGGACTTTAATTATTTTACAACTATTGTACCAACAAGTTGCAACACAAATCCAAGGCTGATGAGGATTAAATAAGTTTTAAAAATATACGTTTTAAACTTTATGTGCTGAATGTGCAATTCACCAATGTGCCATGATCAATGCATTTTCACAAACCAAATAGAATATTCTGACTTCATGGTTCACACCTATAAAGTCCTCAGAGCTAAAATCTTTGTCACAAATACATATTATTTTCCACAAGAAAAATAAAGTTGTTTACTTTCCCATTAGTCTCCATTCCTGAGTGGTCTCTTTTATCTTTGTTGTTGTCTGTGAAGCACACAAACCATCAGTTTCACAGGATGGGGAGCATTTTAATAAGTCAAAGAAAATGTTTGAGAATAATAAAAATAAGGATACAAACTAATGTGGAGTTTTATTTTCCTCACATTCTCTCTGTCTCGATAGCTGCCGGTCTATTTCAAGGGCAGATTTTCCACCAGGCCATCCTTTACACTGAAGTGATGACAGATTGCCTCAGAGCTTTTAATTTCCATTCATAAACCCCCCTGGTATCAATGTAAAATTGTTTTTATCTTATTTTTCATGTACCTGAAAGTATGATGAGAACCTGCTGGATGGCCTCACCCTGTACCCCGGGATGGTGCTCACTCCAATCCAATTTCCTGCTAAAAGCCTGAGGATTTGCACCACAAAGGAACCGAGGGCAGTGATGGAATGATTCTATAGACAAATTAGGTCTAAAACACTTATGCAGGGTTAATTAATAATCAATAATCCCCTTCGTACACCTCCCACCTATTAACCAAACCAATGAAAACAAAAGACATTTACCGAAAAAAAATATTCAAATCAGACTTTTATTCTAACGCAAACATAAATTATTTAACTCATTTCTGAATGAGTCTCAACCGTGCTTTAGGATCGTATAAGTGGTCCAAACAGAACAAGCTAAACAGTAAGCTGTGTGACCTCTGCTCTGTTTACGTCTGATTATTAAAAATGTGATTTTTTTTGTGTGGATATTGAATTTTGAGTAAAGTTAGCATGTAGATATAATCGTGCTGCATCACACCATCACCACATCTCTCTGTTTGCTAACTCTACCTGATCATAGTGGTTATTATGAGAGTTTGTCACACATCTATTGATTGGATAAGAAGCAGGATTAGTGTCAGTCAGCAGTAGCTCGTGTAACAGCGCAGAAGCTCCAGCGATCACAGATCCAATGGGGATTTATCTGGACTGCACTTAATATGATGTGATGTGTTCATTGAGCCAAAGCAAGAGGGGCAAGGATGAATAAAGTCCTATAAACTGCATTAATGTCATTCTACACTATTAAAATAAAACCGTGAAATGGTTAATTGTTAAAGACCATTAAATTAAAACAATGATAATAAGACAAAGTACATTTTCCACATTAAAGGTGCGGAACACTAAAAAACGTCTTTAAATCTTATTTCTGATTATAAAAGGTCACTCTGAATTTTTCATGCAGGATGAACATGTCTCCTACACCTATCTCCTGCAGTAGCTTGTGATAGAAAACAGAATTTCTAGGATTTGAAAGGCCTGACAGATCTATGTCACACTGTCACTAACATTCATGGACTCACCCATCTTGGCTCACGATGGGGACGGCTGTTGTTTGTTTAGCATTCAGGAAACGGCAGATAATGTCTCGACTAGTAGAAGCTAGCTGTTAGCATTAGCAATTCCACCACTCAGCAGAACTCCTCTATGCTTGTTTTGGAGATAAAACATCAAAATTGCTAAATAAACAGATTCAGTTGCTGTTATCCAATAAGAGAAGAGATGTCCAAATATCAGGAAATAAGACTCCAAGTATTGTTCTCCTCAGATTTGGCATTCTGCTAGTTCCCAGTAATGGTGCACCATGTGTTTTTTGCACTCCAAGTGCAGCTTACAAGGTAATCATTCCTACTAGAGACCACAGCAAATGTATTGATTAAATGAGTGTTTCACACATTTAATTTAAAGGTACATTATGTAGAAATGAAGCAAAAACGACAGCCTGTGTTAAAATGTGGTTACTACAACCACTTTAAACAACTATGGAGCTTTTTGCCAGCCTTCATCACATTATTGTTGTCTGCGCTGGAGTATTAACTCGCAGGAGACACGGCAACCCCACACTTACTGATGGTAAGTAGTAGTTACGTCCCTCCTTCTTTTATTTTGAAAGGAGAAAAACTGACAATCCCTGCAGCCAGCTGGATATGAAATATGTTTCAGTATGACCTTCCCTCCCAAATGACGGAACTATTACATTCTTTCTGGGATTTTCTCACCGTACAATTCTCACTATATTCTTACATAGTGCACCTTTAACAAAGTCAGTGAAAATGAATAAGATCTTAAAATCAGCATAATTTTTCTGTTCTTTTCTAATGTATTCATTATACATGTACAATCCGCTGCTTTGTTTATATGAATTAAAAATTTTAAATATGACTTAATT